GTCTCGTCTAGAACAAATAGCTCTCTCTCTCTCTCTCTCTCTCTCTCTCTCTCTGATCCCAATCTCTCTTTCTCCTCTCTCTAAAAAATCGAAAGGCTTACTTCAAAGGCCATGGCTGCTGTCTCTGCGTGTCTTCCTCAATTCCATGGCCTCAAGGCTACCACCGCCATGGGCCGCACCCAGAGCATGGTACTCATTTCCCACTAAACCTCTTTTCCTCTTTGCTTACAATTAACTCATTGGTAAGGAGTTATTTTTTAATTCATGCAGGTTGGACCGTATTTTTATAATAAGCAGTCCGTAGGTATAAAACATTCATCTTAAAGATGGATGCAAAGAGGTGCTCCATCTAAAAACATGTGTAATTAACTGTTCAAATGTTTTTCTTAACATAACTATTATTTTTAGTTTTCAATTTTTTTTTGTTTTTTCAAGATTTCCATTTTAAAGATTATATATTCATTAAAAAATACTATAAAATTATACTTAAAAAATATATTTATTGCCAAGCCTGTATTTCTACAATATGCAGGTTGGCTGCATAGAAATCGTGTCCTATTTTTTTTTGACTCTCTAGTTGATACTCTCATGAATTAGAACTAAGAGGGCATTTTAGATACCATAAAAATATATATTTTTTGGATAGTTTTAAAAGTAAGAAAAGTATATAAAAAAATCATTTACTTTTTTTTTTTTCATAAGGAGGTCATAAACAATCTTGTCTATTAGATAATGTCGTTGAGTAAACTAAAACTTAAAATAAATAAATAAATAAATAATTCAACTTCGGATCCCAAGCCATCTAATTTGATATCTAACTGAGAAGAGTAATTATAATTATGGCTCTCTTCTAACAAAAGATAAATGGTCTTGTGATATACAATCCCTTAAAGGTAAGCGTATGTAATGAATTTGAAGAATCATCATTATTGAATATTGTGGGAATTTTTCACATCGGATTTAGGGAATATTAGGCTAATTTATGTGAATAAATGGTTTTGAGGTCAAGATTTAGCTGTTCGTTTAATTGATATTCGTTTTTAACAATGGAACTATTGTGAAACAAGACTTCCTTAAGGAAGCATCCAAGAGTTACATTTACAACTCACAAATGTCGAATACATTAGTGTAAACATGTGAAAATCTTGAAAATAGACGGGCTAGATAATGTGTTACAAGATGCACTATTTTTAGGACTCAAAATCTTTTTGATATGCATTCATACATCTCGGTATCGAGATAATTAATTAGAAGGTATTTCAATATTAAAACAACCTTTTCCGATGGATTTTTGAGGTAGATATATAATTCTACATTTTAAAGTTGTAACTTTATATAAATTTTTCCCATTATTTATAGATAAAATTTTAATGTTGTAACCCCATATAAACTTTTCCCATTATTTATAGATAAAATTTTATATTGTTTAGTATATAAAATAATATAATTTTTCTTTCAGTGACATGGAGCCTTATTTATAGATCAAATCTCGAAGATCTAAAGTGGTGCCGAAAAGAAATGATTTAGCCAAAAAGGAGGACATGGGTCTGATGATTACTCATAAAATGGCTTATTAACGAATAAACACATAAAATAATAAAATTGAGGGAATTGTTTAAATAACAGTAATTATAAGGATAGGGACATGCAAATATCTCATCACAATATAGTTGTCCTTTATGTGGTATATATTTCAGGCTGTCATGCAACCAGTAGCATACAAAGGAAGAGGAGCATTGGGAGCTCGCTGTGGTGACTTCTTGGGCTCACCAACTAACTTGGTGGGTACCTTAAATATCCATTTTCCTATTTTATAATTTCAATAAGTAGATATAGAAGGAGTGAGTTTAAATCTTGTGGGGTGCAGATAATGGTGGCATCAACAAGCCTCATGCTATTTGCTGGGAGGTTTGGGCTTGCACCATCTGCAAACAGGAAGGCCACAGCTGGTTTGAAGCTGGAGGGAAGGGACTCTGGTCTCCAAACAGGGGACCCTGCTGGTTTCACAGGGGCTGATACCTTGGCTTGTGGGTCTCTGGGACACATCATTGGTGTTGGAGTTGTTCTGGGCCTCAAAAGCATCGGCATCATCTAAGAAATTCAAGACCCAACTCTCTTTCTCCTTTCTTTCCTCTTTTTTTCTTTTTTTTTGTATCTAATCTAAGAAATTCAAGATCCATCCCTCTCTCTCCTTTTCTTTTCTTCTCGTCTCTTTATGTAATCTTTCTTCTTTACAACTCAATTTGCAACTTTCTCAAGAACCTCAACCATAGCCCTTTTTTTTTATTGTTGTTCTCTCTTTTTTTTTTAGATTACATTTCGCCTGTCCTAGACTGGCCCCACAGGGCCAAGGGCCATGCTAGGGCTAGGGCCTCTTTGGCATGGCCCGGTTAGGGTCAGGTCAAGCGAGGGCCGGACCTGTAGGGACTAGGGCCAAGCTAGAGCCAAGGTTGGCCCAACTGAGGCCCGACTTGTTACCGGTACTAGAATTATTCATAAACTCAACTTCTTTTCCTACAATCTCGACTAGAGTTCTAAAAGCAGGTTCTAGGTTGTTGGGGTTAGGGAAATAAAAAATTTCTAAGACTAGAAGTAAAAATAAGATCAATGACAACCCACTAAACTCAATCTAGATCGGCCGATTCCAATACATATGAGCAACTTTTGGATCCCTAATCTCTACGTACTATATCTACTTCCTCGTCCATCACATGGACAATATTTGGATGAACAATAAAGGAAAGAAAAAGTTTATATAAAGTGTCAACTTTTACTTAACGGTGCACTTTAAAAATCCTCTAAAAGAGAGTATGCCAACGTTTGAAAACCCTCTACTCTTATCATCACAACTTCAAGATGTGTGGAAATGAAGAAAACAAAAATTTCAAGCTCTAAGAACAGTACATCTTGTAATAATTTATATAAACGTCAGTTTTCAAGATTTTTTAAATGTTTATATATTTGTTCAATCTATGACATTTTTTTAATTTTAAATTTTATAACTGAAGATGAAATAAGATTTTCAAGCCATCGTGATGTTTTCTACACCGAAACTACATCCCATAGACAAAATCAAGTGGTACACCTTATTGCTCCAATGTAAGAAAAATACCGCGTACAAACATAGGGAAACATCTTTCTTTATAGAATTTTGTGGCACTTCTTTTGATATTGGAAAATGATCTTTTCCTTAAATATTTTTCCATGCGATTTGCTCCCACGGAAAGGAGATTTTGTAAAATTAGTAAATTTTATTTACTTCAAGGAGCAAAATGTACATTTGATCCTTTGGAAAGAAGACATCTTATTTGTGCAGGCAAAAACCTTCGAGCATTTTTAGGACCATAAACTTTTGGGATGTGCAATCCAATGAGCAAAATTAAAAACAAAATTCAAAGCTAACTTTCTAAAGAGAATGAATTCGAAACACGAATTCAAAAGGAAGCAAGCTTTTTCAAAGAAATGACACCAATCCAACTCGAAACTTGGAAAAACCAACGTTTGAAAAATCATAAATCAAATCAAAGCAAAAATCATCAAGTCTAATGTTTAAAAACCTTGATCTGCAGGGTGAAACGACCATCCGAGAAACCAATTCAGGTCAGCAAATCATTAATTGAATTAGCAATCCGGCCAAGAGAATCGATTTGTTGATTCCCTAACATAACCAGGCGATTCGATTCTATCAGAGAAAATCAGCACCTAAAGGGACTCCTCATATATTCAGGAACGTAGGATGGCTCCCCCCATTCCAACGTCGACATTGATTATTAAGTCTAATCAAAATCGCAATAGCCTATAACAAGTGACTCCCTATTTTGCCCAAAATCACCAAAAACATTAAGAATAATCAACTATTGAGTAGGGTTGGATATGGGCAAAGTGACTCCCTATTTTGCCCAAAATCACCAAAAACATTAAGAATAATCAACTATTGAGTAGGGTTGGATATGGGCAAGGTGACTTTAACCGAACCCCGTCAGCCAGACTTAAAAAAAATAGGGGGGCCGAGGACTGGGCTAGGACCAAGCAACACGACCAGGGTAGAGCTAGGCCGAGCTTGGGCCAAGGCTAGCCTAGTTCTGACCATGCCCAGCCCTCTTTATTTATTTCTCCTTCTATTTGCCTTTTTTCTTCTTTTTTTTTGCCCGACCCAGCCCGACGATAGGGTTGGGGCTAGGGCCAAGGCCTAGGACTAGGGCTTGGCTGGCCTAGCCTAGCCTAGCCTAGGCCCAAGCCGTTGCCAATGCTACTATTGAGTTATTTTTCACCCAAACTACATTTTTTCACCTTGGCTTTATCAAATGGGTGCGGTTTGTATAGAGCCTAGGCTCTAAACAATCAAATTAGAGCCTTCCTTCAAATAGTGTCGAGAAATGCGGTTTCAATATTGGAAATCTTTATGATAGTCCTAAAATATATTTTTATATTTATTTATAAATTTTAAAGCTTCAAAAATAGTGTAGATCTACATATCTATGAATGCATTACAAAATACACTATTTCTAAAACTTTAAATCTATTTTTTTTTCTCATGTCCATGCTTCTTGATGTCAAGAGAATCAATTTATAGATATTTGGGCAACAAAACAACCACTTCTAGTGAATTTTTGAGGTAGGTTCAAATTTGATTGTTTAGAGTCTCGGCTCGATATAAACTTTTCCCTTAAAAAATTGGGGCCCAACTATGGTACCCCAATAGCAAGAAGGAAATGGGGGAGTACAAAACAGAACCCCCCATGACTACACACAAGCTATTTGGTACACCGGATGGCATAGCAAATCCAATCTGACTGCACATCTCTATGCTACGGGTATTCTAACCTAGTGGAGAAGGGTTATTTTAGTATTGATATAGGGATGAAGGGATTGATTAGACCGAAGAGGGCTCCTCATCAATCACCTCTAGACTCGAGATTGAACCGCAGTTAGCAAATGCCGTATTAAATGTGATATTTTGAAAAAATCGGAGTTTTTTTTAAAACCGTTTTAATCTTTGTATTATTAAAAAAAGAGCATAAAAAATCACGTTTTTTTATGAAGAAGTTTAAAATGCGATTTTTTGATATTTACAATAAATCGTTCCAAAAAAACTTTACTATTAATAACATCTGAATTTTTTTTTTCGTTCTTTTATTTCTTTCGTCTTTTCCTTTTTTTCTTTTTTTTTTTAATCCTAAAACAGGCTCATTGCATATGGCTGCTGAGTTAATGTAGAAAATCATTGAATGCTCACAGAAATTTATAGACTTGACTTTATTGTATTGAAGCTTTATATTGTGTTGAACACTAGTTTATTTTTATTTTTTGAATTAAATCTCATTTAATATCTCATTTTATTTATGATTTATTTACTAGATATTAATCCCTGTTTATAATGCTCGATATAAAGCTCCAACACACATAGAGAGAAAGAGAATCACTCATAAAGAGAAATTCGGGGAAAATAGATTAGAAAATTTATTTGCTAGTTATCAATCTATATTTATAATGCTCCATATCAAGCTCCAATACAAAGAGAGAGAGAGAAAGAGAAAGATAACCACTGATACAGAACCATCTCAAAGAAATTAGGACAAAATACTATAGGGAAAAACACAGATAGAGATAATTATAAAAAAATCCCCAAATTTAATCTCTTAAAAAAATTAGGGAAAAAAAAGAACGGTACGATAGAGAGAACTTTCGAAGCACATATTCAACATTAACTATCAAAAATCCCAAAATTGAACATAGCTCAAAAACCTCCAAATTTAACGTAGCTCAAACAATATTACATAAAGGCAAACTAAATTAAAAAAAAAATTAAGGCTTTTCCCTAAACCTGATTCAACAATTTGTTAGCTTCATAAAAGACAGCACCATCTGAGTTCTACGCTGCACATCCATCTGATTTTCTTTATAAACAGGTTCACCATCTGCTTCAAAAGACAAGCTTTGAATTACATGACTAAATGGTTAGTATGGCGCAAGCTTCTAATTTGGAATTTAAATTAACATGACTAAATAGGTAGTATCGTGCATAGTTATGATAGTTAGTATAGTGCATAGTTAGCATAGTTAACCTATCCGATATATTTACGATATATTTACATAAAATATTTTGCCGATCAATATTTTTTATCCGATTTTTTAAAATAAAAACGATTTATTCTCGATTTTATAGCAAACCGATATATTATACTTACTTACTGGAGATGGGACACTTGCTTAAATATTGCACTGGGCTCAGGAACGCCATAGCTATATTATCGACAACTGGGTCCATACTGGAATAACCATAGGCAGTCGGAAAGCAAGCAAAAGCACACAAGCTCAAAGGAATCCCTTCCTCGTCCCTCGAGCTTTGCTCTCAGGGTCGAAAGTACCGATTACTTATGGGCTTTAAACGCCCCATTTCAGGGCAATTCAAAGCTTTTTGGCTCCCTGTTTTGGGAGAAGCAAGAGAGCTGGTAGTGTAACCCTCTCGGATACAAAGTACACACTGTACTAGGCTTAGCAAACAACACAGTATAGTGTGCAAACAGACTCACGCATATAGTATACATACACGTGCGCACTAGCTTGCGATATAGGCATTCCTAATCATTTATCTACGAAGTCAATGCATCTATTTTCCTCAGTCGAAGCCCCGGTTTTGAGATCATCTAAATAATTTTTAATTTTTAACCATAAACTCTCTCATTTTTGTGGGATTGACCATTTTATCTTTTGTACATGGAGGTTATAATCATTATTGTCCCTTAAATCTCAAAATTAATGATTGTAAGAGTATTCTTTAGAGATTTATTTGGGTTAACCTTATCTGGAATGTGTAGAAGGAAAGAAATAGAAAAATCTTTGATAGTATAATTACAGATTTGTCTACATTAAAATCGAATATTTTGACAGTTGCAGCTGATCGGTTCCTTGTACATATGGATAGTGGATTTATTCTTAAAAGTCTTATCATCAGTGGCCACTATAGATGTTACCACCAATATTTGTGGTGAGGTTGTTTGGATACCACCACCAATGAATTCTTTCAAACTTAATTTTGATGAAAGTTCACTTGGCAATCCAAGACCAACTGGCTATGGTGGACTTATCAGAAATAATTTGGGTCACATTATATTTTCTTACTCGGGTCGTTATGTATCACAACAGCAAATGAGGCCGAAGCACGAGGTTTATTAAAAGGTTTGAAATTGCTATGCAATTTGGAAAGGGGCAGGATTATCGAAAGAGACTCGACAAATGTCATTGCCTGACATACGAGAAAGACCCATATTTATTGGAGATTAA